GAAGAAATGCAGCTTAGCAGAACATCATGCATATCATAACGAAGAAACGGCTGAGCGTCTAGGCTGCAATACGCAGGAGTGGAGGAAATGCTTCCAACGCACGTAAAAATTTTCGTGTAGCTTTTACTCGAAAAATTACCTGTGCCCGCTAAGAATTCTACAAAATCGCTTGAATTTCGCATGTCTAAATAGTACTACTAATAATTAGCGTTTCTTCTTAAAGATTCTTGAATATACTACGATTATATTGCGGCAAAACAGACAGGCATGAATCCCACTAATTGATCAACAGTTACTTCAGAACTATTCGCTCGAAATATTAACTCGGCCTACGGTTCACATGACCACATACTAGACAGTAATGTTTGCATTCAGTTATCTGGGACACTTTCACTGAAATAAACACGAATAATTCAGGCTGCGATATAATACATTCATAAGAAATAACTGTGCTGAACAAGGAAATATAAAAACTAAGGTGAGGTCAATTGATGATGACGTTATATGGTCTCGTTGGGGCGTACGGCTGTCATCAGGTCATAACGTATCACCGGAAGAAGAGACGTATGACGGTAATTAATCAGCACCAACACAGCGCAGAATGACTAAGTGTATCGCGTAAGGTCAATATAAATTGAATTGTCGGGGTAGGATGATCTACGACAGTCCAAATTAATAGTTATGAACAAGGATGTGATTCAGCGTTCCTTTTTACAACAGTAAAATACCAGCAAACAAATATTTGGTAATATCACAACATTGTTCACTTGTTGAGGTTTGAGTGCATGATCTGTAGAACCATAAACACTTCGCTGCAATTTCCCAAATTTATACATACAAATCCATGATAGATGATGAAATGATATTGGAAGAGAAATCAACTTGAATATTGTACCAATGATAATAAGCTTGACCACTTGGACTAACAATGAAACAAATAACGAACACGCTTTCGCCTGAGAATCCAATTGAAAAAACAACTTTCAGAGTAACTTTCTCCAACTTTAAGTCCTCAAAACACCCACCCGATTTCTCGACGTCCACTAAAATACTCCAGGCTGACACCAACCGCGTGTCTTGACGACAACTAAAGGAATTTATCGTGAAAATTTCAACAGACGAGTGCATGAATTACCGAAGTTTTTTTTTAAGAAGAGATTTGCAGGAATATGATGAATGGGCCGCTTAAAACTTTCATTTCCCAGACTATGTTCTGTACCCAAATCCGACGATGTGAAGAATGCATGGGAATGAATACGCATTTTGGTCGCATATCTCCACGAGGTCATCTAACGTGCGAGAGACGCGCGTCAAGCTTTAGATCGAAACTTGGCATAACGCGAGAGGAAAGCACCAAAATTATTTGTCAAGCTGAACATTTCTGAAAATTTCAGTTCAGCATATCACTATGGCTTCAGAAAGGCAGCTATTGCATCTCACGAATCAACGAATAAAAAGAGTCAATCAAACTCAAAGCACGCGTCGAAAGTGGATTCAAACAAGGCAATTCAATTAACTGTCACACAACTCAAATCCTATACACAATTTTCAATGACAAAGTGCTCAGACCCTCAATGGGTTTAATAGAATTAAACCCAATGAAGACGAAGATTCTATGACTGCGCATAATGACAAGAAAAGAAGGATGAAAATATCCCAACAATCCGCTGAACATTATAAGGATGAGCCTCTGCTGTTGGTCACGACGCTCCTCAGCGACGGAGTCCAGGGCAACGTGCAGGCGTAGGGAAGAAAGTGGATTTTTAGACTCACGGCCCATCATTTAAAGGAGGATAAACACGCGTGTCGTGATGCCCCGACACTCGAAAGCTTTCACTTTCGATGGGGCTTAAGATTAAAAATATATCTAATCTCAAATATATTTAGACTTATATAAATTTATTTCATGAAAATGAATCTGCAGTAACTTAGAAACTTGTTTATACTAAATGTGCAGTCGTTCAATAGAACAAAACCGAAAGGTTCGCATCTGAGAACAGAGCAACATTCAGGGCAGCGAGTCACTGGAGCGGAGAGTCTGGAACTCAGCTGGCATCTGTCCTCGATCAAACTTCAGTCCCGTATATTTTGCGTAAGCGTAAGAGCAAGTCAAGTCCAGGCATGCGTGAAGTCTTTTCGATAATGCAAAACGCATGACGATTGAGTGTTCTCCTTTGATAATGGCATGACGACTCGTCCTAGCTCACCGAGTTAACAATTCTTTATTGAAAAATAACCTATAGTTTTATCTCTAAAAAATATTTAGGTTCATGAAAATATAATTCAACTCTCCGTTTAAGTGAGATCTCACTTTTCACCAGCTTTCAATACCGAACACGCTTCAATGTAAAGTAACGCACGAGGAGCGTAATATGTACCAATCAGTAAACTTGATCCGCATTCAACTTTTGCAAGTTACAATGAATATGTAATTGCTGCCATATCGAAAAATGATCATTTTACTTGAGTCTCCATGCATTAAGCCGGAGAAAAAATGCTAAGAATTACTCAAGCGATTCAAATTAAGGACTTTGAGACCCCGGCGTTAGCGGACTGGGTGGACTGGTGCCCTGATACTAAGGGCGGCGCAGGCACGCGCGGGGCTGGCGAAACGTGGCATTTAGTCGGCAGGTCAGCTTCTCTATTATATAACTGAGGTGACATTCAAAACAATCTCTGCTCGACGCCGATTATTGCTCAACAAACCTTTTCATGCTTCATTTGATACACATCATTAATCGACAAACATTTCACGTTGATTGGTTACTCATCGTCAATCTATAGCTATAACCTTTTCATGTTTGATCCATCGTGCATAAGCAATCTATGGAACTTTTCATGCTTGACCATCATGTATCCACAAGCAGACATCATACGCACGAAATTTACCATGACCTTACCTTATTGTTATGTTGACATGAAGAACGGTCAATTTTTACCAAAAAGTTTACTCATAGGAAGTTCGAGTAACATTTTCTACGAATGCGCACACAGCCGTAACACGTTCAACTTAGATACAATACAGATTAATTTTACTTTTTATCTGTGGAGTGAAATTTTGTATCATGGAAAACTGACAAATATATTTGCCAAAATTTCTCCGAGCAACTACACAACCATAACCGCTCGGTATTTCATCACTGGAAGTCAATTTGACATTTGAAGCCCGGAATATCTCACTTCTTAAACAGAAACTACATTTAATTCAAAAAGCATCACCGCGAGCTTTACAAATATCTGAATCGCTATTAATTAATATAGTTTTTGTAATCAATAGACATTACATGCCAAAGTCAACGTATCTTTTTCCTCAATAAGGTGAATGTAAAATTGCCTTTACAATTGGTTATCTCAAAAAGTTTAAGGGGCCACTTTTGTTAACCTTCCCCGGGTCCGATCGAGCGCTCAATACCAAGTTGCATCTCATCATGAGTTACTCTTTGTTATTGGTGATTCATCACGCAGCCATAAGAAAATATTCAAGATGACGATTGTCCAGCGCCTTTTTTTCTGGTAGGACGCGGGGGAGCGATGATTCATCACAGATTTTTCGACGGGCCTCCGAATTTTCTAATGACTCGCACAATGCAACGTCTGACGACAGCGTCTTCTTGAGAGGCTCATTAGTGGCACCTTATTGTAAGTCAAAAAATAAAACGAGCGTCTAATGGGGGATTAGCACTTTTTAATGAGCCTGGTGGAATAGATGAGCTGGTTTTCTGAAAATATCACATAAATATCATACGTGGGTTAATGCGTTTAAGTTGATAGTACTAACTTAATATATCTATTGAATCGTTGGCAGTAAGTTTGATGTCATCAACCCATAAATCTCGCTTTCTAATCTTCGGGAGGGAAAGTGATGACCCTTCAGCAAAAGAGGAAGAAATTTTTCGTGTCTTAAGTGGTCAAGGCATACCGTAACGATCGTGGAAGCCAGTCACTGGAAGTGAAATGAATAGGAACTCGCACGAGCCTTGAGGATGACATACGGTGAATAGAAAATGGCGTGACCGAGGGCAGTACGAATTTAGAAGATATGCTTTCAGCATTCGGGGCCGAAACTTTCAGAATCAAGAGGTGTGACTCGGCAACTTTAACGTACACATATCTCAAATAATGAGAGTATTATAAGTAAGGATCAAAAATTCAAACGATGTAAAGCTGTGAAATTGTTACTGAGAACCTCGTGAATGAAGTATAAAAAACACACAATACGTGGGCAGTGAATAGAAAGCGAAGTATTTGAAAATAAGATAAATATTCTTAATTTTTATGCGTTTTCACGCAGCACAAAACCCAATGCCATGGGAAACCGGCGTTCATATATATATAACTCGTTCAGAACGAGTTATATATATATATATAACTCATATATAAAACTCGTTCATATATAACTCGTTCAGAGACAACTTACTCATTACTATCCATTTCTTATCTCTTGAACCCAGCGCTCCATCCTGCCGCTGCCACCGTGGTTCACATGAACCTCTGCATTGCCATCATGCAGGATTCAATGGAATAAACAATGATATATATGGCATGTGGAACGTTTTGTTACCGATACAATACAAAAGATCTCGAGTACGCTTAATTGTAAATTATTGCGATTTTATTATTTTGTGAAGTTGGTATAAACATAGGCATCAAGAGGGTAAATTGGATAAGATAATTTATTTTTACGTTTCATGTATAAAGTTTTTTATCGTGTTTATTGCATAAATGCAGTAATGATGCGAAAAAATATCAAGATGTGTATTCCTATTCGCTATAATGGGAAAGAAACTTAATGCTTCAACAAAATGTCGCGGGATATGGAAAGCGTTCTAGATTGTGCGAGATCCCAGTACATGCAACTTGTGACAAATATTGAATAAATTCACTCAAAGTGACAATTTGATTTCTCATGACGTTATTGGAACGCTCATCACAACACGACCTTTTAATGGGTATGACTTACCTTATTTACCTACCTACCCTACCTTACCTAATTTACCTACCTATCAGGATGACCAGCAAATGAGGCGTACAATCCTTCAGCTTATTCGGCACCCGGTAACTATCAGTGACCTGAAAACAAAGAAGAAAAAGTAAGCGTTTACTAGGAAAATAAGTTGAATTTGTCTAAAAAAAAGTTCAGTGAATGATTTTTTTCGTCGAATGATAGCTTTAATGTGAAATTAATATATAAATCTGCGTCATTGCGAAATAAATCTGCGATTGAGAAAACAATTTTTCCAGAAGAATATTAAAAAGAAATTGCACGGTGTTGGTGCAGAAACGATTGGAGAAAGAATTTCGAAGCAGTTGAGGGAAAATGGGGAAAATTACTTTTCTTGATCCCCACTCAAAACATTTGTATCGAGAAAACTGACTAAATAAGTGAATTAATTATAATATCAATCAATAGTACGGCTTACAATTAAAATGGCAGAAATAAACATTTTCGCAAAGATCTGATAACTTTCATATTTATAGTATATATATAAGCAGCTATAGAAGATTTTAAGGTGGATACATAAGCTTGTCGTAAGCACAGACAAAGGATTGCCTGATCGATCTCACTTTAGGCCTCATCACAAGCATAACGAATCTCATGATTGCTCTCTGATCCTCAATTCCTCTTGAAAAATTCATGCTTGCTAACCACGAAGATCAAGATGACAGCAATTTAGCTAACCACTCGGCAATACGAACCAAAAAAATTCAAAGCGATTTGGATAATTACACGATACGATGCGCAGCAAAAAATGTAAGCTCTACCGAAGAGAAGATAGAAGCACGGGTCTCTCAAAAAACCGTTTGGGATACTAATGAAGATACGACGGGAAAATGTTCCTGAATTTGCAATAAATAATAGGAATGAAGAGAATAGTTTTGCCATCAGGGTTGCTTAAGGGAGAACCCAGTAAAAACATTAATGCATCCTCTCGTCTAATTTTTAAAGTTAGAATTGAACATGAAACTTGACTTATAATTAAATTAATTTTCAGACAAATTCTGTACAGCAATATCTTGTCGCTGTCGGATACCCGCAAGCGTATTCCCTCGGGCGCCGCTGCTGGCGCTACAGGAAGCTCTCCCACACTCATGCTTTCGATGCAGCTGCAGCTGATGCTCTTGAACTTGACATTGCTGCATTTGAAATGTGGATTGTCTTGATATTACTGTACCCGTGTACAAGTGCAGCCATATATTAATTGCAGCATGCGACCTGCACTTGAACATCCTTAAGGAGTAACATCGCAATAAACTCCTTCACATGTGCAGCAATGTTGAGTTCACTGTCATCGCGTACTTATTTCATTGAGGTTGAACTTTATATTGCTGCATTCTATGATATTTCAAGTAAGATTGTTATTGAATTAATATTAAGATTGAGGTTATTAGTTAGATTGCAGACTTTTACCGGTATTTCAACTGAAAAAGAATCAGAATGATTATTATCATTAAATAATATTAAAACTTGAAGCAAAAACTTCTAAAACGTCATTGCTGCAGTAATTTCAGTTATTTATTACATGATAAATAAAATGCGACAGCGTAACAGTTGTTGAAGATTTTCAGCAAAATATTGTGAAGACTTTAACGCAGAGTTGATAATGATCCACTTTGGAACAGCTGACGTGCGCAGATTGTTATCCACTCTCTGATAAAAATAATTAGAAAGAACTATATAGGCACAAGATCAAAAAGAATTTGAGTGTTTGAACGATAAACTTTTACCAGCAATCTTTCTTCAATGCGAGCTTCTAGCGCCGTTGCGGGCGCTAAATAATGTGGTGGAAAGCCTCTCACTTGGGTACGAAAAAGGTCCACCTATCAAGCTCCGGTTCATTTAACAAATAAAATACAATTTTCTATGCCTTTATTGCTGCAAATAAAAGGCGTTTTTTAAGGCTCCATTTCTTCACCTATCTATTATCCAGCCTAAGCGCGCCTCGGACAGCCACAGTCCATTTCTGGATATCAGATAAGATCAGGTGGCGTTCAGGGACAAGTTAGACTGGAAGACCGCAGCATTCTTTAGTAAAAGTGAAGATAAAACTTGGAAGGTGACAATCTTGTGGACTCGTTCTCCAATTAGAGACTTCTCATGGCCAGAAAAAAAGGTTTTACTATCGATGCAATTAAACCATTAGGCAATTTTCGCCTGGTGCAAATGGACCGTCAAGCGATGTGCTGATAACGATGAGCTAAGGTCTCAGAAAGTGAAAGTTTGGAAGACCTAAATCGAAATACCATTAGTTAAGATAACCAAGTGTCCCGAAATGGCAAACGTCTAGGATGCCCTGTAAACTAAGCAAATAAATTGGAAATGCTACAAATAATCTTAATGAAATCAGAGATAGAAGAAAATTGATGCCATTAAAGAATATTGAGGCAAATTTTGAGACAGAGTTTGATAACATTATAATAATGACAAAATTTCGATAATTCAAGTGAAGTCTATCTCAACAAACGACTTTTCTCACTAGCATCACACTGGCGTGCATCAACATAATCTAAAATTAATGGTAACTTATAATATAACGTATTGATGAAAGTAAAGTTGAACCGAAATGCATTTCACGTCTCATGGCATGAATGAAGTGAAGACTAAAGGTTAAATTTAATTACATTCATACCCAGAATATAAGAATTTTATAGACAAATTTCTCGAGCTTTCGCACTTTAAAACTTCTGAAATTGTCACATATCAATCCCAAAACAAGAGCATTCCATGCATGCAAAGTTCTTCATCCTGCTATAAATACAAGTAAAATAGAAGGAATGATTTCCCGCACGACGCATATCGCACGCCAGGAGCAAGAGATGCAATAAACGCGGATCAATTTCCTGCTCAAGATCAGCGACCGCTCTCCCGTGCACAATTGTTCTTCTCTGATACATAATATAATTGTTGACTTCCTTAGCGCTGCCTCAACCCTCCCTCCCTCTTAACATGTTAGGAAGGCAATAGGCAATCATACTGGGTTGCAACCAGGCTATCATGCAGGGTTGCAACCAGGCCATAATGCTGGGTTGTTAATAGTTATGTTCACTTAGCGAGTTCTGAAAGTATGGCCCCAGGGGCCATACTTCAAAATTCGCTAAGTGAACGTAAGTACTTACGCTCTATTTTATTGTCTATGATTGGTGGATTTTGATTGAAAGGCCGTCAATGATTGGCTGATGAACTTACGATCTCTTAACTTTTTTTGAAAGTATAGGCCCAGGTACAAAGACCGATGAAAATAGTTGTATTGACTACACGAAAATGAATGCCTAGATAAGGTTTGCCGAATTGAAACGATATAATATAATGATTTCTCCGTCGCTACGAATGACAAAAAATAGAAGTATAATAATAATACAACCCAATCTATATAATAATAATTAGTATAATAATTAATACAACTCCATCGAGTCGGTCACACAGATGTTATCTAAGAATGAGATGTACACGCAAGTGATCAAACCACAGACAAGGGACTGAAAATGAAATTATATTCCAGCATAAAGTGCGTAGTGCTCATGAAAAGTCTAGCAATTTTGACACCCAACAGCATGGATAAATGAAACCCTAGGAAAAGAAAGGTTTATTAAAAAGAATACTTGCAAGCATAAGATGTCGAAATAGATTCGACACACAAGTAGTTCCAATGCAAAGCTCTGCAAAATGAGATCAAGATATGACTCGGTAAACTCTGAAAGCGAGGTCGCGATGGTGAAGGCTGGAGTAAAGCAGCAAGCGAGGTCGAAAAGTGCGCGTCCATTGTGAGTAAGAGGAATAAAGTGTATGGGGACACAGAAACGCTTGACCTCGCACTTACTCAGAGGCAAACATTATTATAGGTAAATAAAATAATAGCATGAATATGGAGCATAAAATAAATATGCCAGAATGCGTGACTGTAACATTATTGAGCTCAGACGGTTCTTTATCTTTAGCCTTAGTAGAGGATAGTGCTTTCTGATGAACTTTCATTTCGAAAATTAATCGTGAATAATTTATTCAGTTAGAACTTCTCATCGATTCTAAGAAAAGAAAAAAAAATAAAAATATGAACAGACGTGACTTGACGAAGATGACTTTACGAAGCAGACTTGTCGAAGCATAAAACGAGATCGAGGCGGCGGAGGTGTGGATGAGATAAAACGAAGACCAGCAGATGATAGACGGAGCAGAGATGCACGGCAACGCCCTGTGCTGAGCGCTGCTTAACTGAATCACATGAGCAGGATAATGAGCGATCCTGACAATGGCCGACTGTATTGGCGCCTTGTAGAGGACGAGGGTATCTCACTTTACTGGTAATTCAAGTAAACTGAATTCAACTGGTGAAATGAAGAAGGCCTAACAAGGCATCGGCAGGACGGACCTTGGCTGTCGAACATCGATCCTGACTATTTACTGTAACATAACATTACATAACATTGTTATGTCAGCGCAGAAGAATAGGCCTGATGTGGCCTGTCGCTGATTCTTGTACTTTTCGTGACTTGTTCACAGGAGATCTAAAAATATATCCTTTGACCGGATCTTTCCAGATCTGACGATATTTTGAAACAGCTACTAGACTTCCACCAGGTCCGATATGGTGCTTGGCATTCCAAGTCTGAACATATATTTCTCCATAGTTTTATCTAGTCTGTTCTTGAACGCGTTCATACTCTCAGCGCCAACGATGTAATCGGGGAGGCTGTTCCACATGTCGGTGATCCGAAGCGAGAAGAAATTTTGTCGCGTGGATAAGTTGCAACGCAGTTTTTTTAGTTTATAGCAGTGGCCCCTGGTGTTGGTTCTTGTTACAAATTCTAGCAAACCCTCTAAGACCTTTTATAAATCATAATTCATAAGTATACTTGTATACTTCAATGAGGTCACCATGCACGCAGACGTCGATAGCATATAAGGCTTGAAAATTTAATAATTTTTAATCTTCCTTCATAGGACTTGCCCTTCAAGCCTGGAATTATCCTTGATGCACATCTTCGAGACTCCCTACCAAATTTTTGTCATTTTCAAATTTCGGTGACCACACGGCCTTTCCAAACACTAGATTCGGGCGCACAACAGCGACAAA